ATTCTTAGCATCTGCCAGTTCCCTGAGGCTGATGTCCCTGAGTAGAACAGCTGAGCTGTTTCATTTTTTCTAACCTTTGGATTATTTGCCTTCCACATGGGAGATCTGTGCAAAACCCCTGGAATCTGACCTATGACCTGTTCTTAGTCTGAGCTTTCCCGGGAAAAATCCTTTTACTTTTGCTTTGCTTAGTTTAGCTTCATGTTGCTTCTTTGTTGAAAGACATTGGACAGAAGTACGTCTCAGGTAGAAAGGATTCTCTAGAGGATAACGTGTATTCGTGTGTGATGACAGGAGGCAATGGGCAGATTCCCTCTTTGGTGGTGGTAGGGCTTCCCCAACTGTGTTCTCTGACTTCCCCAGAATGGGAACTATTCTCCCAGGTGTGAATGGGGCCCTTTTCCCAAAGGGCAAGACAGGAGGAAACACAACAAGGGAGGGCCGCAGAGCTGGAGATCTGCTGGGAAAAACCAGCCACATAGTTTGCGCATTCCCTCCCTCAGTACAGGCAGCGTCTCTGCGTGGCTTTCTGATAGCTTTGAGAAACTACTTCGCTGGTGACCAGGGAGACCACTGCTTCCCAAGATGGGGTGGGAGTGGAGAAAGGCGAAGACACTGCAGTCCTCCAACTCATGGGAGCGGTAATCTTACCCCGGCTCCCACTGAGTCAGGACCCGAGAACACCCGTGAGAAAAGTCCGCGCTGTCCTCGGTCAGCCGAGCGGAGCTGGTGCAAGGTGAGCTCGCTTAGAGGTGAAATCTCTTACATCGTACTCCTTGGCTTTCTGTCGTTCTGTCATTCTGGGCCAGATCTGTTGACCTTCACTTGGCAAGCCTGTGACTATCTGAAGAAAGTTCTTACACCTTACGTCACTTTTCTTCTCTGAACTGAACGCCATTTCCTTCAGCCATTCCTCGAAGACTATGTATTCAGGCAGAATCCCCTTCCCTTGCAGTTTTCCAAAACTTCTATCCTATGGGGCAGAGAGCACTCCCCTTTTGTCTGGTTCTCAGCATGAGAGCGATCTCTTACCTAAGGAGTTGAGACCTGAGTGGGCTTCTCATCGGCTCACTCACTGAGAAGGGTGACAGGGACCTTCTCTGTGAACCTGAACGCCTAAACCGGGCCTCACTAGTGGCATCAAGTGTGCTTCCCGTGTGACAGCTGGCATCCCTTAGCTCCCAGTTAACCCTTTTAGAGATTTCAAATCTTCCCAGCCCTGAGGGCAATTCTAAGAGAATGGAAATTATCCCACGCCCTCAACTTCAAGTTTTCTGGCATTTCCCTTTTTCTGAACCCCAGACCTTAGTGGCCAACTGGTGGCTTTGGTGGGGCACTGATTTACTCTATACCCTCATTCTAGTTCCTCTAGACAGGAGCACTTAAACAATCTTCTACTCCCAGAACTTTATATTCTCTTCTGAGCAAACATGGCTTCAGGCTATAGCAAGGAATTAGCGCAGAACACAGAGCCTGGCCCCAGAGGCTTATAAAAGAGAGAAAGAGAGACCAAAGGCTGAAATCACTTCCTATATTTCCTTTCATCCTTCTTAGCACAGCCTGCTTCCCTGAAACCAAAGCCTTCCTGTGAGCCCCTCATCCCAGAGCCACTGAGGGCTTTCTCGCCAGCAGTTAGGGCGCAGAGTGCTGGATACCGGACTGTGTGCGGGACAGGGCGCAGAGTGCTGGATACCGGACTGTGTGCGGGACTGTCCCTGCCTGGTGGCTTACAGGCTGAGAGGTCGAGGCAGAGGCTCAAAGTCCCCCGAGTCCAGCACAGAATAGGTGTGAAATGAGCATAATTTACAGGAGAGGAACACATTCTGAAAAGTGAGTGAAGGGCCCAACGTTTCACACAGTGTTACAGGGAGCATCAAGGGCTGGACCCCAGTCTCTCTGACGTCTGATCTACAACTCTCTGATACAACGTATGTGAAATCTATGTGTGTAAACGTGTTTATATTTCTAGATGTATGTGTGTACATGGGAAGTGGAATTCACCTATGGAGACGGCTTTATTTCACCTATATCCCCTAACTTGAGTCTCGCAAGAATCACGTTTGACTGCTAGGAAACAGGTTTCATCATGCAGATAAATGGGAGCACCGGGATTCAGATTCGGGTCTTCTAACTCGAGCTCCACTGTTCTTCCAGTTACATGACATTACTCACTGATCTCAGTAGTTGTTACCAAACCCCTCTTTAGGATCCCTGTGGAATGAATTTCTCTTTGTCCTTGTCCCTCTAATGTATTATTAACAATGGAACACAACTCCCCATCAATATGCTGACAAGGTGATGATAGCGAAATTTGAACAACAAGCACATTGCTAGCCAGTGAGACTCAGTCACTTTAGTCACCACGAGGACGGGTACAGGCGGGACAGGGGCCAAGGAGCAGTCAGGCTCACACAGTAAGGAAATTATGTTGAAGGCAGGGACACAGGGACGGGGCAGACAGATGGCGTGGTGGCCTGTGTCCTTGGCTGGTGCAGAAACAAGCTCATGAGAAGATGCCACCCTATGCCTCCCACCTCCTCCTGCTTGTTTATGTGATTCTTAGCAAACCCTTTAACATAATCTTAACAAATGGCTTAACATATGATCTCAAAAATTTGGGAAGACGTCTTTGTAAAAGAATATTCTTAGGGAAAGTGACCGTTTCCCTCCACTTCCCCCACAGGCTAGAGTTCTGTGTTGAGAGAAAGGCAGGCAATGGATATTTATTATTTACTATGTGTCAGGAACTTTACGTACAGTACCTCATTCACTCTGTTCCACAGGAGAAGTTTTATAGCTGAGGAAACAGGCTCACAGCGATTACAGAACCTGCCTAGTACACAGCAGGGATGGAGGCATTGGCCTTGTCCATGAAAGCATTTGGCACGTCCTTCAACACAGGGCCCATGGTCTTCCCGACACCAGGCAGGTTCAGCTCCTAAGCTCTTCAGTCCAGAGGACTTAACCTACCACAGTTACTGCCAGGAATCAGCCGCTCTGCCAAATGGCTATTGCTTGGCAGCAGGAGACTTAAACACACTTGTGGTCCCCATATACTCAGATCCTGGATGAGAATTTTAGAGCTGGAGGGACCTCATCAAGTAAACAGCAACCCTTGAATTCTGCAGATGAGGAAACTGAGGCCAAGGGCTTAGGGTTAGGGGATTTCCTGGTTCATGTGGTTGATTATTTAGTGGTAAAGCTGGGACTAGAATTAGGTACCTTTCTTAGGATGAAGGCCATGAATCTAACACACCAGCAATGAACTACTAGGAAGTAGAGAGACAGGAATTGAAAAACCCAAGAGAGTCCTAGTGATAGGCAGGATTAGGAAGAAAGAAATGTAGAAGCAATGTACCTGTAGCCAGAAGAAAAAAAAGCCATATGTGAACCAAGGCTGAAAACAGATCGAGGGTGGGCTAAAGAGATTCAATAAGTGACTTCCCAAATTGTATTTTGTTCCATTGCACATGCAGTTGGAAGCCAAATGCAAACCACCAAGGTTGCAATGAATCAGTGAACAATTATAGCACAAATATTTGTGGGCAGCTGTGGGAGTGCAAGCCACCTGCTCCAAGTTTACAGCTTTGTTAAACTTGGTAAACATCAAAAATGGAATGGGAACACCCCCGTCTGTACAGCATCCCATACCCTTCCTGAGCGGCCTTGCTTGGGTAGCTGGGGTGGACTTGCCCTTGACCAGGTCCTCCTCAATATGGCCTCGAGGTGCTTTCTGTTGGCAGAGATAAGTGCTGCGGATAGTCTGTTGCAGCGTCTAGGGAGGTGGAGAGTGTCACAGGGAGGACCATATATTTAGAGAGTTTGAAGGGGTCTTACAGACCACAGATGTCATCTCTCTCATACTGCTCAGATGAAGAAATTCAGATGTAGTGATGTCCCCAAAGTCATAAAATTATGGACAGAACTGATTATTGATCTTGAACTTTTGACTTTTTGTCCAGTGTTGTGGGGACCCATGAGCCGGCCATGCTAAGGCTTATCTTGCTGACCGTTTGCAATAGTTACTGCTGTGTGGATGTTTATGGTTTCTGTTGAGCTGCGATATCGGGACCTTTCCATAACCCCAGGGTTGAGTCTACAACTATGGCCTTGGGGCTTCCCATACTTCTTTTCCCACTGACCAAGAGTTGAGAAAACACCAGGTGGAGCAACAATAAGCTTTCTGCTGGCGTCCAAGCCGCCTGCTACGTGACCAGGAGCTTGATTGGATGAAGGCGCGTGATCACCTTTATGGCTGGACAAGGAGCGCATGGACTGTGCGTGATCAGGCACCCGATTGGAGTGCTGCCACATGGACTGTAGCATGGACTAAGCTTGCTTACATGCTTCAACAATGTTATACCATATAAGCTGTTTGTGATATGGTACGGGAGCTTCCCCTTTCTTTTGGAGCTCCCCTTGCTCAAGGGTTTCTTTTTCTATCCTGTTTAAATAAAAGTCTACTGAAGACCGATCAGCTGGGAGCAGTGTTGTTCCTTTGCGGGCAAGGGAACCACACAGTGTTCCTTCCTCTATGCCCTAGGAAGATTGCAATGACACAAATGGAGGTGTACCATTATAGAACTGGAAGGGGCACGGTTTTCAACTCCCAGGATTCTTGGTTGCCACATGACCAGGGAGTGCTTTTGGCATTTAGTGGGCAGGTGCCACAGAGCACCTCACAATGTGATAATTCTGCATCATGAATTCTCTCTCTCAAATGCCAAAAATACTCTTTTCAGAAATATTTTTGTCCACCATTTGACTTAACAGTTGCAGAAGATTCTAAACCTAGGGACGGGGAGGAATCTGATTAGGGTCCTGAAGAGCGGAGTCAGCAGTTCCCCAACTCCAGGCTGCTCTTTGTCCTACCCTCCTCCCACTGAGCCCCAGGGAATCAGTAGCAACCTTGCATGACGCCTTCAGAAAAGGGGTGACTATCTCCTCCCACCATGCTCCGGCTACACTGGCTCCTCGGTTGTTTCTAGGTCAGCACTTACTTGGACTTCAGGCCCTCTTGCCCATAGGGCTGCAGCAAATACTGGTGGACAAGCTTGTCCCTGAGAGTCCCAGCCAGTTTGATTTTCTTTCTTGATCGATGCAGGTTGATGATAAAAAGTGTAATGGACCCACGAACATAGTTGTGGCTGAGATCCAGAGGGAGGAAGGGAAAAGATGGAAACAAAGTGGTCAGTTAGATGCTCCTGAATAATTTATAGGCTGCACAAAATAGGACCACCCCAGAAAAGGGCATTTACTTTATGGGCCTTGGCCACCATAGCCCTTCACAAACAGGAAGGCCTGTTATTGTGGTTTCCTGCAAAGAAGAGAACTGCTTCCCACCATACCCCTTTTGCTTTTGTTTAAACTATTGCAAAGGTTTTAGAATTTCTGAGTATGGAAGTAAAACATGCTGATTACAAAAAAATGAAAAAAAAATAGAGATATACAGTGGAAAAAGAAAATTTCCCACAATTCAGTAACTTGAGATATGTCAATGTGTTGGTACACATCCTTCCAGTATTTTTCAGTTATTAATTTGACAAATATTTATCAAGTGCTTTGACATGAAACTCAATATTCAGAAAATTGGGATCACACTACTCACACAGCTTTTTTGTGTGTGTTAATGAACATCTTAAACATGTTCCTATGTTATTATATAATTCTACTTATAGAAGAACACTAAACTTTTTAATCAGAGAAATGCAACATAATTTATTTAATCATCTACTTTTGCAGAATTATGTTGTTTTCAATTTTTACCATTAAAAATTATGTCACACTCTTTGTAAAGTGAAGCATTAAACCTCTGACTATAATGTAAGTTAAAAATGTTATCTCAAAAATTAAAGTTATGTCATGAAGGGCTTCATTGTACATAAATTTTTGTACTTCATAAGCATTTCTGATGGCTAAAGTCTTAGAAATTGAAGTCACTAAGCCCAGAGGAATTACATTGTGGCATTCCTCAACAAATTTTCCAGTTCATTCCCAGTTGTGCCCTTCCCGTGGGGAGATTTTATGCCCCTGCTCTGTGAAACCCTAGGCCTCGTGCGATCAGATGGTTTGCTTCATCTCATGAAATGTGGGTGCACATGTTCAAACCTCTGGGAAGAAGCTTTAAGAGACAGACCACGTTTTGCCATGTCTCTTTTCCCTCTGACAGATCGAGCGTTCTGGAAGAGGCTGCTCGGGTGACTTGAGTGCTGCCAGGAAGATGATGTGGGGCAGAGCTGCAGCTGTGCTGGGATGGACACGTAGTGCGAGTGAGAAATAGACTTTCTTATTGGAAACCATGGCGATCTGGGGTCTTGTGAGTACCACGGCACAGCTTTACGTAGCCTGACAAATACACACATTTTAGAATGCTGATATTCTTTACAAAGCTTGTACCAATTTTCTCCCATCATCTCTATATCCATTTACTCATACTTTTAAGAATAATGGGCATTAACATTGAACAATACTTTGACAACCTGAGAGTTGAAAGGAGATTTCAGTGTCATATTAACTGGTAATTTTTTCAACTCATACTGAGGTACGGCATCTTTTTTTTTCATTTGCCCACCTGCCATTTTATTCCTTCTTTTGTAAACTGTTCATATCCTTTGCCTATTCTCTAATGATTTGTAAAAACTATTTATCAAAGATAGCATCCTTTGTCTACATATGTGTTGTCCAGTTTACCATAATTTTCTTCGACTGACTCATTTGTTCATATTGCATTCTTATGTATAAAAGCTAAAAACTTTTATGTGGTCAAATGTACTTATCTTTCTGACTTCTGATTTTGCCGTTTTATCTACCCCAAGATGATAAAACTATTCACTGTCTTGGAATCCTTTAGCACGAGATGCTCAGAAGCCTGGGAGAACTATATGGCTCCATGCAAGAGCCTTTCAGCATGTATCAACAAAACTCTAACGATTTCCTTCACTCTGAAGGAAAAAGACCTTGTTCCTAAGGGGTCCCTTAGGGCCCCATCTGGATGGGTTAATGAGAGGAAACAGAAAAAATGACTGCCCTGCATTCAAAGGAAGAGTTCAGAAAAACTCATAAGTCAACTTTGCCCAGAGGAAAACATCATTCCTTGTAGAATTTCCCCTTTCCATCTCAGGGTCACTCATCTCTGTTTCTAAAGGTGCTAATTAAGAGTCGAGTGGCCAAGGGCAGGTCAGTATGATAACTTGGGATATTTAAAAGAAGTATAGTTCCCAGAGCTCCTCTCTGGAGATTTTGATTCATTTCATTTAGGATTGGGGCCTGAGAATCTGTATTTTAAAAATGTTTCTGAGATATCTGGCAGATGAGTTGAGTTTGGCTACTACTTGCTTAGGACCATCCGTTAGGGCTGTAAGAAGAAATCCCAGTATATCCTGCTGGCTGTGCATAGGATGATTTTTCATGCACCAGTAGGAGGACATATTGTTGTATTCAAGGTTTTTAGATGCCAGCATTTGTTTTGGTAAATTATTAAATGAATCTCCTATCTAATTTCTCCTCCTTTGATTCCTTTAAATCCACTGTAGTGTGTGAATTAGCTTTGTAGGCAAAAGAGTTAGGTCAGAAGATAATGTCAATTGATTTGAGCAAACTTGTATCACCAGAGCTCTGAAGAGAGATGTTGACAGCCTGTGTCAGTGTTGACCATCATTAAAAGAATAACAACTAGATTCCTTTGGTGGGTTCTCAGATTAGCTTAGCAAATGTGAAAACTTGAAGTCATTCTGGGCTTCAGAGTGTGAGTGAAATAAATGTGGGTGGGCACCAATTTTTTCAGACTCTGGTAAACCCTTTTGCTAGCTACTATCAAACAGTACTCTCCAAGGTCAGCGGCAGAGGAGGGTGAGAGCCATGTGCTTGCCTTTATGAGTTTTTCTTCTGCAGGGCTGGGGAAGAATGAGTCCTCAGAGACTGCAGAGGAGAAGGGTGGGATGTGGGGAAGTGGTGGGTGGAGGGGAGACCTGAGATCACAGCACCACTGCAGGGAAGCTGTCTTTCCAGGCAGCTTGGCAATGGTCTGTTATCCATTTATCTGGTTCTCCTTGGGAAGATAAACCAGCGAGGCCCAGATACCAACATGCAGAGGCTCTCATAGAACTCATGGAGTCTCCCCAGGGAGGAACTGGCATTGAAGAGTGCTTCAGCCATCTCTCTCCCTGCTTGGCCGAGGGGCAAGGACGTTAAGTGGAGGCTTTTTGATGTGTAGACACATTCATGGCTGAAAAGTCATATTGCTGAAGCATCTATATTGCTGGATCACAGAAAAATAATCCTGGAGGAGTATCTGTTCCTCAAGAAAACTGCATCTGAAATCCTGGCCTGCAGGCAACTTTTGACCTCTGATGTTGTCAAATTCAGGTAGATTTTGGTTCCTGTAGTGAATTCCCCTTTCTGGAGAGAAGCTATCTGGGTAGAACATCTGTCTCGCTGCATGTCTCACGCATGGTGAGACTTTTTCAACAGCAAGGACTCCAGGTGTCTGGAGTTCATCTTTTCTGGCTGTTCTGTTCCTGCTTGACATCTTTCCTGTGTTGCCATAGGAGGAGGAGGAAGTGAGTCAGGGAAGGAAGGCTGGAACTGGACTATGCCGAATGTGAGGGTGGGGGACGTCATATGGGAAGGTGCATCTTGGTTTCCAGATAGAAAACAGTCATGTTCTAGAAATGTCTCCAGTCAAGCTGGAAGGCTGGGGAAAGGAAGGGGAGACAACGCTTTGCAGCCCATAGTCCTTCCCAGCTAAAGTCAATGTGCTTAAAAATTGGGTTGGTCCGTTGTCTCCAAATCTAATTCAAAAGTTTTAGGTTTGGTAAAAGTCAGACCATGTTTTGCCAAACATTTTTTCCCCTTAATTTCAAAGCCCCTGTGTATTTTAAGGGAAATTTAATCCACATGTTTCTGATTCATTTACACTTAACTCATCAAAATATTGTTTTGTAAGAGCCATTTGATGTCCAAGAAGCCTCAGGAACCTTTTTTATGAGTCTTTAAAAAAACTTCTTCTGAAAAACAGGAAGTCATGTTTTGCCAATAATAAATGAACTTGAACCCCAAAAGACTCAATTTTGCTTTAACATCCACCAGGTTCCAATTGGTTCCGAACTTGGCTAAGGACCTTGGCTCCACCCTCGAAACATACATTGTCTCAACAAAATGGCTTATAAAAATAAGGTTTCCCAGTCAAAATTTGATTGCTCTGTACATGAAGGCCTAGAGTGAGAACTTCTGTTAACTCCAGAACAGGAAGCTGAGAAGCACCTGCTGGTGTTGGTGTGAGTTTCTAACTTTTTCTCTTAAATCAATGACAAGAGACAACAGAGACAATGCTCTAGTATGTCAGGAATGACTGGCAATGCAAAAGGCTATCATAAGAGGCAGTGGGGTATCCAACTGGAAGTTGCCTGACTGCTTGAGTGATATAAGAGGGAGTGCTGTGTTAAGTTGAACACTAGGCCAAATTATCTCTATGGGTTCCTTTCAAATGTGAAATTCTTGCCATCACTAATGCTGTTATTTGCACAAGCAATTATTTCCACAGAGTCTTTGGAATTCAGTAAGATAATATAACTGCAAATATATGACAAGGTGCTTGTCACAGAGCGAGGATTCAATGCACTCTGGAGTGCAGGAGTTGTTTTAACGGACACTTTCTTTGGGTGGTTCTGTTAGTAATTTTCTACTTTTTCACTCAATCCCTGTTTTGACCCAAGACACATATTTTCAGAGTCCTGGTCAAGACTGATTAATGTAAAGCCAGCGTGCTGTGACTCTGGCCGCACTGCCACAAGTAACATAATCAATCAGCGCTGATTCACTGTGATGGCTGCGGCAGATGTGAGGGCACACGCAGGGCATGCGGCTTCCCAGAGCGGAGAGGAGACACTTCTCCTAGCCTCGGCACTGCTCTCTGAACACACGACACCCGCTGGCATGAGGGACACCTCAACCTCGGCTGGCTCAGTGTATCCATTGTACGCTCGCTGTAGGTATTTAATAGGAAGAAAAAGATCTTCACCCCAGTTATTATCATTTGGGTGATGTGTGGGATTAATTATGATCATCATTTTTTTCCTTTTAATGGACAGAGGGAGAAGTCGTACTGATGGAGTTAGCGGTAGAAGTAGAGGGCTGGTGATGTAGAGTCCTGAATCTAGATGATTTGGTAACTTGTTTGGGGTCTCATGCTAGTGAGTGGTAGAACTCCTAGTCACTCCACACACCGCATTCTGGATGCTGTGCTGATAAGAGGAACAGAGCTATAATTAAATCAACAGTAACACCTTGGAGCCTGTTTCTGCATTTACTTATTCCGTCATCCATGCATTTATCATTTACTGAGAACTGCATGCTAGTCATTGTACTGGACATCAAAATTAATGAGACATTGGCCCTGAGTTCAAGGGATACTCAGATTTTAGTGACAGCTCCCCATGAGAATATGGAAAGCACCAGGTGGAACACTGGAATGAGACCACGTGAGGATCCCCGTGTGAGGGCACCAGGTCCTGCTAAGCCCATGGCAACCGACATTTTTTCCCCAGGGTCTTCAGACCAGTAGCTTAAAGGCCACAGACTGACGTGCTTTCTAACAGCCACAGAAGGTGCCAAGCATAATTTTTCTCTCTTGAAGCTGAGGATCCACCTTTTGGGTGGTGACCTCAGGGCCGGAGCAGAGACGAGGAATACAATGTTTCCTTGTGTGGTGATCAGATAACTCCAGGCCAAGGCCATAAAGCAGTCACTCTCTCAGGTATTGGATTGAGCTTCCTGTTGAGCAAAAGGGATGTTGAAAACCTCTGGCCCCTGCCCAGAGCAGCCTCCCCTCGTCCACAATAGGCACTTGTATGTACAGACATGATTCTTTGAGAAATCTTATCATGATAAATTAATTGGCTTGGCTCCCCTCTCATCAAGGAAGGAGAAGGAGCATCTGTTGAAACCTGACCACTCCGGCTCTTTGTGCTCACCATTGTCTTGATCAGCCCTGATAGGCTGGGGTGGAATGAAGTCTGGCAGAGGCGCTTGCCTGCCCATTCCTCCTCTGCAGGTTTTCTGTGCATTGAGAGAAAAAAGTCTCTTCCAGGGCAGCCTACTCTGCCTTAAACAGGAAGTGAAGTAAGAAAGTCATGTTTGGCCAGATGGGTTTTGTTTTAGGCCTACTTTAAAATTTTTTCCCTTATAATCTTCATGTTTTAAAACATTTTATCTGTCAAACTTCATTTACTGATGATTAAATTTCCTGTTTGGTTTAAAGACAGCTCTAATGACAACCAGCACTTCAAATAAAAAACAGAACAACCATACCTTACTGTACTGGGTTGTGAAAAGTCCGTGCTTCCCCCCAAAATGAAGCCCAGATTTCATTTGGTTTCTTAACACTTAAAAGAGCTGGAAAGATGTTTGAAAAACTGGCATGAGAACCTTTGGGTACTCCTGTGTTTCTGGGAAGATCAGCTGGAGACACTGGTCTAGGGCTAGGCTTCTAGCTCTCAAGCATGTACCTCAGAAATGAGACATATCTCCTCCAGCGTTGCCGCTGGGTCACAGGACAGATCTGGCTTCTTGCCTTGGCTCAAGCCGAGGCGCACAGAAGAGCCTCATGGGCATTACATCAACAGGCACAGAGAAAATGCCCCATAAAAACTAATTGGGAAAATAAAGAAATGAACAAATGGCACAGATTTTATGGACCTTTATGAATAAATCTTGTTAAGTATAAGAAGGGAGCTTTCCTTAGAGAAAAGCCATTTGGAGAAGAAGCCATGTATCAGACATAGGATGGCCACCGCAGAGCGAGTCTGGGAGTTTTCAACTAAGATCATTGCATGGAGATCCACCTCAAGGCGGTCCCAAATGGGATGGAATTCTAAGAGGGGCTGAAGTCCACGGAGGGTGGCCTTTCTCTTCTATGTCCATGAAGACTTACTTATGGTGATTTGTGCAGTGAGCATAAATCCTCAGTTTGTCCCGGATCACACGGCCAGGCCGTGGCTTCCGCTGCAGCCCAGCCACATGCACAGCCAAGACCTTGGGCCCGATCAGGCGCTTGTAAAGGAGAGAGAGCCAGTAGTCCTGAGGAGAACAGAGAGGTGCAGAGTCAGGGAGGGAACACAGCAGAGGTGTTCTGAGTAGACATGACAAATGTGCAGGCCAGAAACCACTCCCCACCAGTCCTGAGAGTCATCACCTACGGAGACCTTGACCCTACAAGCATGGTTCCTCCGATGAAGCAAATCATTCCTCTGGGGATAAAGCATAAATCACTTCTATTTCTTAAACTCTTACTACAATTTTTTCCTTTTTTTGTCTTTCATTCCAATGTCTTATCACAAACACCCTGGCTTTTATTTAGGAAATTTGAAAAAGCTAAATATATTTTGATTTCAAATTTGCATTCAGGCATGGTCATGATCTTTGTGCATCTAGACTGATTATCTCAAAAGGCACAGAGAAAGCATTTGATAAAATAAAACATCCTTTCATGATAAAAACCCTAAGCAAATTGGGTGTAGAAGAAACATATCCCAACACAATCAAGGCAATAAATGACATACAGCCAACATCACACTGAATAAGGAAAAATTGGAAGCACTTCCATTAAGATCCAAAATCAGGCAAGCACGCCCACTGCTTTTTTTTTTAAAGATTTATTTATTTATTTGAAAGTCAGAGTTACAGAGAAAGGGAAGGAGAAAGGGAAAAAGTGAGGGAAGGAGGGAGAGAGAGAGTGAAAGAGAGAGAGAAAGAGGAGGAGAGAATATCTTCCATTTGCTGGTTTACATTCTAGATGGCTGCAAGGCTAACACTGGGCCAGGCTGAAGCCAGAAGCCAGGAGCTACTTCTAGGTCTCCCACATAAGTGACAGGGGCCTAAGTACTTGGGCCATCTTCTGCTGCTTTTCCCAGGCCATTAGGAGGGAGCTGGATTGGAAGAGGAGTAGTTGGGACACCAACTGGTGCCCATATGTATTGCCTGCATCACTGGTGGCAGTTTTACCTGCTACGTCACAATGCTGGCCCTAAGGATGTCCACTTTCACCACTACTTTTCAATATTGTTCTGGAAGTATTAGCCAGAGCCATTAGACAAGAAAAAGTAATTAAAAGGATTCAAACTGGAAATGAGGAAGATAAATTATCCCTCTTTGCCGATGACATGATCCTTTATATTGGGGAACCAAAACACTCTCCTAAGAGATTATTGGAACTCTTAAGAGATTTTGGTAAAATTGCACAATATAAAATAAACACACAAAAATCAATAGCCTTTGTATACATAAACAATGCCATGACTTAGAAAAAATTCATAAGATCAGTTACATTCATATTAGCTACAAAAAATTTAAGTAACTTGGGATAAATTTAACCAAGGATGTGAAAGATTTGTACAATGAAAATTATAAAACATTTAGGGAAGAAATAGAAAGACATCAAAAAAAAAGGAAAAACCTTCCATGTTTGTGGATTGGAAGAACTAATATAATCAAAATGTCCATATCCATATTACCCAAGGCAGTTTACAATTTCAGTGCAATCCCAATCCAAATACCAAGGACATTCTCAGATTTGGAAAAATGCTCAGCATCACTAGCCATCAGGACAATGCAAGTAAAAACCACAATGAGGTTTCATCTCACCCCAGTTACAATGGCTATCATCCAAAAATAATAATAATAAAAAAAACCAACGACTACTCATGAGGATGTAGAGAAAAGGTAGCTTAATGCATTGTTGGTGGGAATGTAAACTAGCACAACCATTGTGAAAGATAGTCTGGAGATTCTTCAGAAATCTGAAAATAGATCTACCATATTCTGCTCCCGGGAATATACCTAGAGGAATTGAAACCTGCATGTGAAAGTGTTATCTATACTCTGATGTTTATAGCAGCTCAGTTCACAATAGGTAAGATATGGAATCAACCCAAATGTCCACCAACTGATGACTGCATAAAGACATTGTGTTACAAATACATGATGGAATACTACTCAGTTGTACACAAGAATGAATTCCTGCGTTTTGCAACAAAATGGATACAACTGAAGACCATAATGCCTAGTGAAATGAGTGAGAACCCAAAACACAAATGTCCTGTGTTTTCTCTGATTGGTTGTAGCTAATATACAGAAAACAACAACAACAAAATGCAGCAAAAAGCAAAGAAAACTCCAAAACCCCCTAGTGCATATCAGACTAAGCTGACATCTTGTGAGGTGACTGTTGTCTGTAACCCTTGCCTACACCCCTGGGGAACAGTGGTCTACTGCCTTTCACTTGTAGAGCTCTTCGTTTAGAGGAGCACTGAGCCTGCGATAATGAAGTAAGCTGAAAGCATGCTATTTGTCCTTAGTGTGCTGTACATTGAGATCTAATGCTATAACTAGTACTCAAACAGTATTTTTCACTTTATATTTCTGTGTGGGAGCAAACTGTTGAAATCTTTACTTAATGTATGCTAAACTGATCTTCTGTATATAAAGAGAATCGAAAATGAATCTTGATATGAATGGAAGGGGAGAGGGAGTGGATAAGGGGAGGGTTGCGGGTTGGAGGGACGTTATGGGGGGGAAGCCATTGTAATCAATATTCTGTACTTTGGAAATTTATATTCATTAAATAAAAGTTAAAAAAAAGAAAGCATGCTATTGCAAAAAACTAAAAGAAGAAAAGAAAGGACGGAGGAGGGAGGGAGGGAAGAAAGTATTCTTGTATTATTGGAAGCAAATCTATGAAATCTGTTCTCTATATATTAATGCATAAAAATTAAATTAAAAAAAAGAAAAAAACACTCACCTACCCAACCAAAAAACAACAAAAAAGAATTTTCTCTTAAGATCCATTTGCAGCAAGTTTCTCACATGCAGGATGAAGAGATATTTATTAATTCTCAATATTTGTGTAAAGATAAAAAATTAACTTTAGAACAACAGATAATCCTCATCATTAAGTGATAAAGTTGAACTTACACTCTGTTTTATTGAAATCAGCTCACTTTCCTTTTTTTTTTTTAAATTTTTTTGACAGGCAGAGTGGGCAGTGACAGAGAGAGAGAGAGACAGAGAGAAAGGTCTTCCTTTTGCCGTTGGTTCACCCTCCAATGGCAGCCCCGGCAGCCGGCGCATCGCGCTGATCCAAAGGCAGGAGCCAGGTGCTTCCTCCTGGTCTCCCATGCGGGTGCAGGGCCTAAGCACCTGGGCCATCCTCCTCTGCACTCCTGGGCCATAGCAGAGAGCTGGCCTGGAAGAGGGGCAACTGGGACAGAATCCGGCGCCCTGACCGGGACTAGAACCCCGGGGTGCCGGCACTGCAGGTGGAGGATTAGCCTAGTGAGCCGCGGCACTGGCCATTATCAGCTCACTTTCCACTGGGGGATAGGTAAAAGCTAACTTGTGCTCTAAGAAGGGAGGAGAGGGCTGGGTAAAGCTCTAAAAAGGTTCTGAGACAGATACACAAAAGAGGTTGAGGAAGTTAATTCTTAATGACAAATAATTTTCCCAGGGTTTTTTTTTTTTTGGTGGAAAAATCCACATAACATAATATTTACCATTTCTATTTGTTTATGATATAAATATTCTGTTCAAGTTGTGTGGGTGCATTTTATTACCTTTGTGAGTTTTTGACAGAGGATAAAATAATTTTATGGGAAATATTTCAATACTTTTATTTTGATTTCTTCCTTTTATTCTTAGAAAGTCCTTCCTCATGCAAGGATAACATACATCTTTATTTGTATTTTTTTCTTTTTAGTTTATATCATCATTTTAAATTTTAAACTTTTTTTTTTTTGACAGGCAGAGTGGACAGTGAGAGAGACAGAGAGAAAGGTCTTCCTTTGCCGTTGGTTCACCCTCCAATGGCCGCCGCGGCCGGTGCGCTGCGGCCGGTGCACCGCGCTGATCGGAAGCCAGGAGCCAGGTGCTTATCCTGGTGTCCCATGGGGTGCAGGGCCCAAGCACTTGGGCCATCCTCCACTGCACTCCCTGGCCACAGCAGAGAGCTGGCCTGGAAGAGGGGCAACCGGGACAGAATCCGGCGCCCCGACCGGGACTAGAACCTGGTGTGCCGGCGCCGCAAGGCGGAGGATTAGCCTATTGAGCCGCGGTGCCGGCCTAAATTTTAAACTTTTAATTCATTGAAAATGACTCAGTGTATGCTACTAAGTTTATTATTTTCTAAATAATTTGTTCCTGTAGTATCAAATAGTGAATAATCTATGAGCCCATCTTTATTATATACTAAATATATTATATACTTTATATATATTATATATCTGATATTTTATCATATGTATATCATAATATACTGACAAGAAATAGTGCTTCTGAACTTCTGTGTCTGGAGTTTCTATTCTCTTCCACTGAATGCTTCATTTTTTATCAGTTTCACATCATTTCAATTGTTATAATTTATATTTTAACGTCTAGAGTTCAAGTCTATTTCATCCTGTGTTTTCTTTCTTCACATACTCTTGAAGCAGCCATACCCACTTGTTTTTCCAAATAAACTTTGAAGTCACTTTTTGTGGTGTCTGTTGTTGCAGAGAACTTCGAGGTTACCATGATCTCCGCTCCACATGTGGAACCCTGTCTGTTGCGTTTCCATTTTTTGTCTTTTGTCGTGGCTTTGACATTCTTGTTCCTATTTCCTCACACGCAGGTGAAGAAATCCAGAGGAGTGTAGCTCCAGCCGGGGCTGGTACGCAGCAGCAGCTACATCATCCTGGTGCTCCAAAAAACGCTCATTCATGGACTTCACATCAGGCCGCCTGAATCAGAACCCTAGAGGCTGGGCCCCGGGTGGCTTTCCAGGTGATTCTGATACTCACGTAAGATTGAGAAGCATGGTTCTAGAGTACATACCTACGAGTAGAACTGCTATATCAGATACAGTTATAAAAATATACATTACAGGATAATGCCCACCTTTCCCAAAGTGATATCTCCTTCCAACAGAGTCTGTGTGGACTTCTCTTGACCCACATCCTTGCCCACTTTTTATTTTCAGACTTCTTAATTTTTGCCCATCCAGTGGACAAAAATGTCTACCTCTTTTTGTTTGTTAAGAATTCCTAGGC